GCAAATATAAAGCATGATATACAAAAAGATAAAAAATCTACAAATAAACACATCATGATTCACAAATAGAAATCAGTGACTTGTACTTGAAAACCAGAATTTGAATGTGAAGTGATTTGTTTGCATGTGAATTTCATGTTCTGTTTGTAGATTGTGTCACATTTGTTTTCAGAATTTTGGCACTATTGTTTCGCTGTTGTGACAGAACAATGCCATAATTGTTGAAAATGAAGAGCCTATGAGTCAAAAATGCATATTACAATTTGTAAACACAAATCAAGATCTTCAAATAGATTTAAAATCTGCAAATAAACTCCTCATGATCTGCAAATGTAAAACACAATCTGTAAATAGATTCTAAATCTGCAAACAAACTCCTCACAATCCGCAAATGTAAAACAAGACCATACAAAAGCTGCGATACAACAGCCCACTCTATTGATCAATAAAGAGTAAAAGGTCTGTTGCATTCTACCTGACATTAAAATATTTCCAGCCGGCTCGCTGACGCTCAGCCAGTATTCGTTTGAAGAGACACTAACGTTTTAAGGATGAAACTGCTTAATGCAGTGCTTTTAATGTTTTAATGACTGGGTCCGTATGTTTTCGACAAGACCAGACCTCTGTGTTAATTCGGCTCCCGGTAGAAACCTCCTGAACTATCCGACACTGAAGAATTCCTGAACTGAAAACACACTGAGCACCTAACCGGAGCTAAGGCTGCAGCAGCTCGGTTAAACACATATCAGGGCATAGCTGCACGGCGGTTGCTACCTATGTTATTTCCAACACGGATTTGTTGTTGACAAAAGCACTTTCATGGAAAAATAATACACTCACATACAGACAGGGTAGCGACTGACTAACCAGCTGAATTGCCAGTCACTGATAATAACTTAAATGACAGCGTGACAATGAGGAGTCGTTCTAGTTAACGTTAATGCTCTGTTCGGTTAGTCATTACATATTTGCCATGCCATAAAAATAAATGCTACGGGGACGCAGTGTCCTTTAGTTCCCAGTAATAAGGTCGAGATTTTGGCAGGGGTCCTGACGCCGATGCGTCCCCTGCGAACGTTTGTTTGGTGTGGTATGGCTCTATAGGTGCAAGAACTGCTAGCTAGCAAGCTAGTGAGCTGTATGTGCTGTTGTTCATATGCTGTAAACACATGTTTGGTTATAGCCAACTATAGCCAAAGCTAAATGATATTACGTTAGCTGGACAAGTTTGGGGACTTGATTAAAACTCAATGAAAACTGTAGTGCACATTTACACAATGCCATTTGTTCAGCCGACGCTGAAAGTTGTGTAGTCTGCACAAGCCTAACGCTGTTGGTGAGCCAGGTTCTGGACAGTTTTAACGGTAGTGCATAACGTTAACGGTTACTGGGTTATTCTTTATTAAATGTCACATAATTACTTGATCGAGCGACCGCTTACCTGACAACCCATCTTGAGAGCGTCCGTCGGTCGGTCCGTCCTTCCCCAGCGCTGCCCAGGCTCTGTCTGCAGAGGCTCTGCCCGCCTGCTGAGCTTTGCACAGAATGTGTAAGAATGTCTTTTTACAGTGGTTTGAAAATACAAGTTTGACTGTGTTTGTTTGCAAATTGTGAGGAGGGCATTTGTAGAATTTATAATGGGAAAACAGCGAAACAGTTGTGCCAAACTTCTGAAAATAAATGCAATACAATCTACAAACAAATAATGACCCTCATGCACAGACAAATCACTATGAATTAATTTAAATTCTGGTTGTCAAGAACAAGTCACTGATTTCTATTTGTGAATCATAAAGAGTTTGTTTGCAGATTTTAAATCTATTCGAAGATCTTGTTTTGTGTTTACAAATTGTAATATGCATTTTTGACTGATAGGCTCTTCATTTTCAACAATTATGGCATTGTTCTGTCACCACAGCGAAACAATAGTGCCAAAATTCTGAAAACAAATGTGACACAATCTACAAACAGAACATGAAATTCACATGCAAACAAATCACTTTACATTCATTCAAATTCTGGTTTTCAAGTACAAATGCAAATGTAAATGCTCCGTACCTGTATAGCGCCTTTCTAGTCTTTTCGACCACTCAAAGCGCTTTTACACTACATCCACCAGTCACACACATTCATACACTGAGCCTAAGTGCTCAAACTAACTCACTAACTAACTAATGGAAACTAATTCACACTCACTCATACACTGGCGGAACAGCCGCCAGGGGCAATTCGGGGTTCAGTATCTTGCCCAAGGACACTTCGACCTTCCGATTAATGGCCAACCCGCTCTACCTCCTGAGCCACAGCCGCCCCTACAAGTCACTGATTTCGATTTGTGAATCATGATGTGTTTATTTGTAGATTTTTAATCTTTTTGTATATTATGCTTTATATTTGTGGATCATGAAGAGTCTGTTTGAGGATTTTGTATCTATTTGTAGATCGTGTTTTACATTTGTGGATCATGAGAACTTTGTTTTATTTACTTATTTTTTATTTTTAATCCATTTGTAGATTGTGTTTACAAGTTGTAATATCTGTTTGTTACTTTTAGTCTGTCCATTTTCAATGTTTTTGGCACCAATTTACCTCCATATATTTCTTCTTCACTCTTAACTTTGATGTCAGGAATATTATTTATTTTACATTGACACTGACATTTTTACATGGATTTCCTGCTATTGAGTTTTTATAGTAGTTTTGCTGTTGTAAACACTACTGTTGCTGTTAAAATGTAAATATATTTCTATAATGTTCTGAATTAAATGATAATTTTAAAAAAGGGCTGATAAGAAGGCTAGAAGTCAGAGGAATAAATATCAGTAAGCCTGTTTTTTTTTTTTTTTTACCAATGTTGCTGTAATTATTTTAAGGTGCAAGGCTTTTATTAAGTTACTGTAGGCTAACAATCCTAGTTCATGTGAAAAATGTTTTTAGTTAAATTACATAAAAAAATAAGACTTCTCGACGCCCGTAAACTTCTCTCCCTCAAAAAGCAAGAACGAATTGAACAGAGCACCTTTGTTTATTTGTGAAGTAACGTTAGCTGTTGGCATAGTGTTAGCCGGCTGCTAATGTTACTGCTACAAGTGACAACACAGCAATATACAACTGTGCACGCTCTCTTTTGCGTCTTTCTTGTAAAATGCATTCAACAAACCACAACAAGCACATTGCGGTAAACCCCTCTTACTGGCAGAATCGAAGATGTCCTGTAGGCAGTGCTGCAGAATCACTAACGGTGTCTGAACGGGAGGGCTCATCACGTATGAGGTCATCAGGTGAAAGGTCATAATGTGGGTAAATTAATTTACTGTGAAATTATTTTTTCATTGCTAATAGTTTGAGTGGGCAGGCCTTCACAAAAAGGCCTTTAGAAATTTTTAAATAAATAAATTGAGGAAATTTTGCATTGACAAAAAGGCACTTTGGGCATCAAAGGGAAAAGGGCAGGTACTCAAGCACCCAGTACCCCCCAACCCCAACTCTCCCTCCCCTCTGCACGTGTCTGGTCTTATGCTCTGGACTCTCTCTGTCTCCTACCACAGCTATGATGATTACACCAAGCTGTTCATGCCAGTCTCCTCATCTGACCCATTGAGGAGGAAACCCACATTGCTGCTTGACTGGCTGACATCTTGTGTGTGAGTGGCTGTTGAAGCACCACCTAAAGCTCAACCTGGACAAGACTGAGCTTGTGTTCCTCTTGGGGAAAGGGTCCCCTTACTAGGACCTGACCTGAGAACACCCGGATGATGCAAACCTGGACAGCAAAGAACCTGTGAGTGGGCTAGGACCACTGGGTCGCAGTACCGCAGCAGTAACCAGCTCGCACTGTGTTCGCAAAGCTTAAGTAATCAGGAAATTGGTCTAATGAGGTCATGGCTTAAAATGCAACAGATAAGTGTTTGCAATTATTATGACACTATGCGTGCTTTAGTTTATTATTGATGACACCCAAAGATTTCTTATTAATTGGTCCTCTGAATATTAATGCTCTAACTACTAAGTAGATGAAAAACAGCTAATTAATTCAACAATGTTCCTAAATTGAAGCGTTTAAGACAGCAGTCATGTTGATGTGACCATGTATTATGCCTTTTCAAATCTTAATCATTTTTTAAGCAAGCAGCAGACAGAGAAGCTAAATCACTTGTGTATACTACATCCGATAAGCCGATAATTACTGCCTGCTGTTTTCTTTGTGTTATCAATAGAGTACATTGGTCTATAAACAGGATAAAGGTCAGGATGTAACAATCGCCATTTACTTTCTCTTTACACTAATGAACATCAATAGCAATTGTGTAAAGCTTTAAATGGCAAAGCAGTTTAATGATCTGCAGTAAAATATTAATGATCATAACTAAGGAAGAATCTACCTTAATGAGAGCCATGCACACACTAAGCCTTGTTATTGTGTTTCCATTAGAGAAAAACTGCAAATTCACTGCTATACAAGCAAAAGAAAAGTTTTAATCAGGGCCAGATTACCCTTCTAGGAAGGCCAGGGGCAAAAATTAAGTGTGGGCCTTTTGGATCCCTCATTTCTCCCGATCTCTGTGCAACATCTATCCTGTCACCAAAAACTAGATTTTGACACCGATTTGGGCCCCTCTATAAGATAGAGTCTTAAAATCATTAAGGCCCATATCATTTCAGTTTATATTGTGCTTTAGTGGTCCATATAACCAAACAATGTTGCAATTGATCAAATTACCACAAACTAATTGACACATAATGATCCTGTGGCATTCGCGGTCCCTGGGTCCAAGGGTATAATTTCTACTCGGGAAACCAAACCTATGCTTTTGCCCTGGGCCTACATTCCGAGTGGATATGAAGCCTGGGGAATTGACGTTGCGGGGCAGGTGGTCTGGCCGGACCGGCAGTAAAGCAGTGCACGTGGTGATTAGCCGATAGGCACCTGTTGGTGAGTCGCAGGTGTGTTATGCTTTTGTTCTCCACATGAAGAGCTGGCACACTGCATGTGTGTTGTCCTGCCATGATTACTTTATCCGTCAAGAGAGCCCGGGGTCAGGGTTGCAGTGTAGCAGGTGGTGACTGCCGTTACAAAGAGAGCCCCATGTAATGTTGGGGGAGGCTAACTTTGTCGGGGAGATCCAGGTAGGGATCGGCTGCGTAGCAACTGTATAGAGTTTTGTTTTGTTCTGTTCTGATGGTCTGGCTTAGAGCTCATCCTGCGTGTGGGATAAACTTGCCCATTGACTGTGAGCTCCCCTTGCGCTGGGTTAACGTGTCTGCTGGTCATTATATTAACTGCATGTCAGCTAGTGTGTTTTATGGGCTCATTGATATCTCAGCCAACCTGTCTCTTTGTGCTTCACATTGTTTTAATACCTTTCTTTTGGATTAATAAAGGTTTAGATTTTATTATAACTGCTTTCCAGTCATTCTTGCCTTCAGGATGCTAGGGACCTGTTGTTTGTGGCTCCAAGGGGGGCCTCCACTATATTCCCATTTCTTAGCTGTCCATCAGTTATATTTAACTTCCATTTATTGTATTTCACCTGTTTAACCAAGAATGACAGAGCTAGAGACTGATGTAATGAATTTCATGGGACTGTAGGATTAGGGTATTTGGCTCTTAGAAATTATACTGTAGATTGCATGTGCTTCATTTATTGTTAGTATTTATTTAGACAATGTTCAAATATATATATTTGCTTAGTGTTTGGGGCCCTACATACAAGCTTCAGATAGCTTAAAAAAGGATGTCCCTTTTCACAAATTTCTTATTACCGTACTTCTATTTGAATGTTATGTGAATAAACTGAACTGAGCTTGGCATCCTGCAGTGAATAAGACTAAAACTAATAAAAACTAAAGTAAAACTAGCAAACCCACGTTAAAAACTAATGAAAAGTCCCCAACTACTATTATAACCTTGCTTCCAGCACACCTATAGCTGGGAGTGATGGCAACTCTGTCACAGAAACACTACTTTGGGGACTAGTTCTGGGGACCCTGCAATGTCACGCCTTCCCCCTGTATGGACAGTAGCTGGATGTGTGGTGCGTTCAAGCACAATAAATTATACTTGTTTTATGAACACGCTTTAGAAACAGTGGGGAATTCCCTCCTGATCTTTACTCCTGGAAAGTGACAGAATTATCTGGCCAGTCATAGACCAAGCAGAGTTTCTGTGAAGAAGCTTAATGAGGTGACCAATGCCATTCATCTGAGACTCTGGATCGTTATCCTGCGACATGTCTCCCCTGAGCTGTCTGAGTCTGTATTTCCTGTACTACATGAGCCTTGAGTGGAACATATGAGGAGCTACGCCGATGTCTAGCAGCCATCTTTTGAAGGGACTTGCCTTGATATTATCAAGGGAACCAATGATTCCTGAATAGAAGGTGTGGGCCCCATGGTATTGTAATCACACACCAGGGTGAGTTATGACAACGACAAAACCTAGTTTAGAGTGAATCCACCAACATTTTGTGCCTGGCCATTGGACTAAATTAGTTCTACTGTCAAGCAAATGGGACAGTCCAAAAACTCCCCCCCATCCACCAGCTCCAGCCCACGAGTCCCTCCTACTTCACAACAGCAAGGGCCTGGGTCTCTGCACAACTGCCTCCTCGGAGCCCCCCACCTCCACAATGATTACTCTTTTCATCCTGGAGAAGGATGTAAACACACAGTCCTGCACAAAACGTCTTTTCTCTAAACTTCATTCAGAAAACAGTGTCGTGCAATGTTAAGCAGGTGTGGAAAAACGCATGTTAGAAAAAGAAGAATGTTTTTAAAAATACGACATGTTAAAATATTATATTTTCCAAGTAACAAAATGCAAAGTGAATGACAGAAGAAAGATTTAAATAAAATCAATATTTGGTGTGACAACCATTTGCCTTCAAAACATCATCAATTCCTCTAGGTACACTTGCACATCAAACATCTTGGAGAACTACACACAATTGTTGCCGGCCTAAAACTCCTGCACTGTACTGTACACAGGTATATTTTTTAATAGTTTTGTTTCTATTTGTTTTTATTTATTATTTTCATTATTATTACTTTTATACTCACTGTATTTATTGTTATGCACCTAAAAATCCTTGTATGTGAAAACCTTCTTGGCAAAAAACCTGTTCCTTTTACCTGTGTTTTGGTCTCACACCACATCCTGATGAAAAATATCTGGATCTTTAGTTGCTCAATGTGACATTATATTCACTAGCTAGATGCCAACTCCGTCTGCTGTTTGGTGCTCAGCAGGTAGAGCACCACGGGTTTGTCACTTTAAACTAAATGATGTCATACTACACTGTTAATAATAATCAATAAAATTGAGACAAAAACTCAAACATGCAGATTATACATACGCACTGTAATTGTAATACAAAAGTGTGTACCTATTTTTAGACAAACTAACCTAACCATCTTTCATTCTCCATGCTATCATTATCACATTTACATGTGTTTCGTCTGACCTGCACTAACCTGATGTCTGCCATAAGTTTTTTTTAATCCAATAACTTCCTTTGAAAGATTTAGAGTGCATTTGTTTGCCGCAGGAAACAGTACCTCCTAATTTCCATTCCACTTCTCACTCTGCAGGTTGCTTCAGAGGAAGCCATCCAGTTTTCTGCTGTGATTGACAGCTCTGAGACACCTCGCGATGACTCCTCTGCCTCTGTCATGTTTCGTCTCTTTCTGTCTTCTCTCCTTTTCCCTTTGATGCTCTTTGTCTTTCTAGCATACATGTATGCCTCTCCTTAACCTCCCGAGGGACCTCTCTATCCCCTAGCCCTTGGAAAATAAAGGAGTGCATGCAATAAAAAGCTAGCTGAACGAGAAAATATATATATAATTTCTGTTTTCTCTTTATTCTTCCGACTGCTTCAGGTTTGCTGCAAAGGCATCAGAGGCACACTCCGTAAGCCCCCTACTGACTGACAGCTCCAGAGCCTATTATGCCAACTTTTTGTAAGCCACCGCACCTTGTGACCTTCTGTCCTTAGACAGAAATGAACTGGAAGTATCAGATGTGCACATTTTCAAACACACCAATTGTTTTGAGTGGCCAAGTGCCTTGAAGCTTCTTGGATGTTTTCAATGTTATCAATTTTGGGAGCATAACAAAAGAAGGGTTTTTTATGGTTTCAAAAGCAGCAGTTGAAAATGTATATTTCTTTCACATTATACTGTCATTATGATTTTTAAGTCCTCCCCTTTCGGTCTTATAGCTGTATAAAACAGGAAACATGCCTTTGCATAACCAATGAATTGATTATAGCTTGCAAAATTACCAAATGTAAGTTTAAACGTCATTTCTAACTCACGCACACCAGGTGTGTGTGCGGTTATTGTTCCCCTCCTCTTTTTATCCCTCTCATTCTCTTGTCTTGCCCTCTTCCTCTTTGTGTTCTGATCTCTGTCCCACTCGCAGACAGACACCCAGCCAAGTGAGGGTGTGCAAAGATGTTATCATCCTGCTGCCTGCTGAGAGAGAGAGAGAGACAGCCGACTCAAACCAAGTTGGCACGTGGGACCGTCCGCTGACCCTTCCCCTTACAGGGCAAACTGCCAACTGTGCATAAGGGGAATTGGCTAAGGCCATGATGGCGGTCCTCATTCATTCATTAATTGTTCGTACCTGTTTTCATTGCATTTACTCACTCATATTTTGTGTAGTAGTTATTAGTTATCACATTTAGTAGTCGTGTGTGTACTATGTAATTTCTATTTTAATAAACCAATCATTTATAAAGAATTGGATTTTGTGCAGCCTTGTCTAAAACTGCTTGCAGCGTTCTCGATAACTGCTCCTCTGATCGACTTCACACTCGACACTGCACTCCCATGGGTCCTCAGCAACACACACACAAAACGAGAAGTTGATCAGATGAGCACTTGGTGGGATTAAATGTTTTAAAATAAAATACCGCTGTTGGCCCATTGTATCAGCCTCAGTGTCACAGAAAGACCCTCATCTTCTTTAGCATCTTACATCTCTACCTGACACTCGTCAGCTCCTGTCTCCTCACGTTCCTTATCAGACCTACTTGCACGCTGCTCATGCTTTCTTTACCTCTCTCTCCTTGCCGTTCCCTCTCGGGTGACTTGTGTGTCAGGGTTGACAGATATATTCTGTAGCTGTCCTACCTGGTCCTGTGGGAGAATCGGTGTGTGATGTTGACCCGGGATGACGGATGGCAATGCCTGGAAGACCAACACCTGAGGAGGGAAGGAAGCTGCCCTGCCTGGAGAAGAGGAATCATGTTGACAGTACTGATGATGTCCAGCGTTTAACACCAATATATAACTTAAGGTCATATCCAATAAGGTTAAACTTGCACTTTATATAAATGTAGGCTTTTGTGTAATAATGTTGATGTCTTTGGAAGTCATGTACTTTTTAAATAGAATGTATTCAATTTACATTTATCTCTTATACATAGCTTATGGCTTTTCTTTTTCCCATATATGTTCAAAAAGATTTTTGTGATCTTTAGGTCTGTCTTGAAGTTTCTATATCTTTGCCTATATTATTCAGTATTCCTGGTGTTCACAAATCATTATTTCCTTTTTGAATAAAAATGATTTTTGTGTCAATACTCTTCTAATGCACAACATGGGTCAAAAATTAAGCTAAGCTAGCAAGCTAATAGTATTGGACATATTTCTCTTTCTCACTATACTTAACTGTAAATCTGGAATTACTGGACCATCCATACTAACACTGGATAAAGAAAATCAAAAGCACAAGAATATTTTCAAATGCACATCAATGTTTAAAGTATATACTGTTCTGTTTATACTGTGAGTTTTACTTTGTTGATCTAGCTAACATAGGCTAGCTAGAATAGAAAATAGTATTGGACATATTTGTCTTTCATTAGTAATGATATCAAGGTAACCTTAATCTAAAATGTAATTATTATGAACAGTTTATGGGTAAAACGATTGTAAAATAGACTTAAATGCATCATGTGCAAAAGCAGCCGAGTTGTGAAATGCGGGAGATTAATATTGGTCTGCACTAAATATATTCATAATAGCAAACATTTACAATTATCAAAAGTTCCTCTCAAATTCCAGAGTGAAAACATACCGGTCATTTTTGACCCATGTGTGAAAAAATTGATGTAGAAATACAAGAGCTATGTTTGTTTATCCAAAGTAAGTAATAATGAATGAAATAAAAGGATTTCAAAAGATATAGCAAAGAAACACTCAGCCATGCATGAGATTATATAGGAAATGAAAACAGGTCATTTTTGACCCATGTTGTGCATTAAAATGGGTTTGCATAGCTTGTGCATCAAAAGGTAAAAGACATTACAGAAGTAAGAGGTTCATATACAGATTTATATTAACAAAATCTAATTTAATCTATTGAAAGCAGACTCTGGGCGCTTTGGGCGATGATAATGATTGAAATATTTTTTTTTTCGCCGTTTTAACTCCAAAACCCGCTGATGTTGTTGGTCTGAGTCTAAGCGGGCGCCATCTTTATTATTGCACAATACCTGCAAGCTGCCTGTCTGCTGTCGTCTTTTCTGCAGAGAGGAAACATGCCGCTTGAGAACATACAGTGTTTTTTGCCATTTTGTGGCCATGTTCCATTTTCAATCTACGGGCCTGTAAAGCATGGGAGTGCTTTTGGTGACAGGAATGTTGATGAATACTCCTGTTTTTATCAATATTTCAATGTTTTGTCATTTGGAAATAGGTTGTATGGACTGAAAAAGTGTTTTAAAGATATCTATTAATAAAAGTCAGCATTTTAACAATAAATATTGTCAAAATATGGAAATTTGCCTGGTATATTTGAAAATGTTGTATGATAACTGTTGTATTTTAGTTTATTTTCATCAGATTTATAGTTACAATTGCATTCTAGGTGTATTAGAAAATATTCAGTTGCATTAAAAGCAAACTCAGGATGGTTTTGATGGTTTATTGCATCAAAATATAGCTTTTTTTACCAGGCGAGGATAAAAAATTTCAGATTTTTTCTTTATTGCATCTCCATGTAGTCAGTAAAAGTTAAAATTATTATGCATCTAGGCCAAATGGTTGAGGAGTTATTCCTGATTCATTTTAGGTATGCGATTTTAGGCGTCTGTTTTCATCAGGTTAAATTTAAATTCTTAATTTAATTTTTATGCACTAAATGTGTAACGCTGATAAAGCCAAGAACAGTAAACTTTTATTCAGAGCAATAGAAAGCATCCTGACTGGAAATATCACTAACTGGCATGGGATGTGCACGGCCCAGGACAAGAGGGCTCTGCAGCGGGTGATTAAAACTGCTCAGAAGATCATTGGTACCCATCAACTGAGCATCAGTGATATCGGAGAGATGAGTGCCTACCTTGTTTGTGTCGCACTGGAGTGAACTAGACCGAATATGTGCGATGTCTCTCCTACATACTCAGTGCCACTCAGCATTAAGCTCAAAGTAGCTGAGCCTTTCTCTATATATCTATGTCACAATTTATGCTATGTATAATGGCCCTTTATTATAGGTTGCCAAATGTGTGTATTCATTTTCATTACTCCTGCAGTGGGTTTTATGATTAACTGATCAACTGAAAGTTTTTATTTCACCAACACCCTACAACTTAGAACTGAGCAGGTCTGTAGTTCAAGCCATAAAGTAGCCACCATGCAGAGTATAAACTCTGTTGATTTTGCTAACAACAGCACATCTTTGAACCACCGGTTGATATAAGAACAAAGAGGTCCTCTCTCTCCATCTTTTTATACAATCCATCTTGTTTCCTAGAGTGCAATGAGTATAGTATGCAGTATGTAGTTTCTAAATGGTGCAACTTCACTGCATACTGCGTATATCATCACTCAGAAACCTGTAGATATCGACACAATAAACTTGTCATCTTTCCAAAAATTACTATATCCAAACTCATTTTCCGTGTCTTGAGTGAAAGAGATGGTGATGTGTTTTAAGAGAGAGAGAGGTCAGACCAACTTCAGTGGAATTAAGGTTTCAGTGTGTGTGTGCTTGTGTTTATTTTGCCGCACCACAGGGTACACTTTATCATGCAGGTCACCCTCAGGATTAATGTTTTCATTTGAACCTCTGATAAAGAAGTATCGATTTTGCTTAATCACACTCTCAATATGAGAAATCCACTGCGTAACATTAAATGTACCAGTGAACTATTGATCTTTGTTTTGGGTCAAAAGCAACAAGGATTTGATGCAAGGCTGAAGTATTTGACACAGAGCAGCACAAATCCTAAAGTTGCGCCACCTGGACAAACTGACTGTAGAAAACCATTATTACTTTTGATTTTCTCTTTGTTGCAGATTAACATTTTAGCTCTACTCACAGAAAGAAGGCAGAGGCCCACAAGACCAGTGACTGAAGGGATCCCTGGAGGGAGCTCATCCCAGCCGATTACTCCCGGGACACAAGTTCCTACATTACATTTAAATATTTGTGTGTATATTTATAGTGTATATGCATAGATTCCTTTTTCAATGTCTCCCAACAGTCGCAGGTGTCATCTGCCTCGCTGAGCCTTGTTGAAACAGAATGCTCTCCTTCATCACAGGATGATGATGATGATGATGATGATGAAGACATGTTGTCTGCTGCCACAGAGCAGCATTCAGAGAGACCTACAGAGGGATACATCTTAATGTTATGCATGGCAGCTATCAATAGTTTTAAAATGTTGAGTTTCAACTGTACACTGAAGTGAGGAGAACAAACAATGAATGGAAAAACAACGTGCACATTCTTATCTTCTTTAACCGGGCATGACTGGGCATTACCAGGATTATTGTCAACCTACCTCCACAGCTCACTGAGATGTTCAGTAAGTGCCAGGTTGATTTGGCATAGAACTGTAGAATTGAATGTCATCCTTATGTTTTCCCAGTTACCAGTTACTCATCAAGAAAATGGCAAACACTGACCAAGAAATGGTGTACACGGGGCGGCAGAGTAGAAAGGCAGAATTACTGGCATGTCAGTTACAAGTGGGTGCATGGTCACAGGTGAATTATGTTAATTGTTAAATAATTCTAATTGCTGCATGTGTGTTTGTAGGAAATAAAGAAAACCAACAATGCGAATGATTTGTCAGCTTGGGGTGGTGCTAGCTTTATCTGTGAAGTCATTCCAGCAAATGATGTCTCTGACAGCTCTTCTATCTTGGACATCTGCAGGGTGGATGGGATGTTCTTCCTCAGAATCGTTCATTTGTACGGCAGGATGGTGCTCTCCTCTAATTGTGAAGTAAATATTATGAAGAACAACACATGCCACAATAATGTCACATGCTCTCTCTGGGTTTACCCTGAGTCTATGTAGGTACCAGAACCGAGCTTTCAGCATGACTATTGTCATCTCAACCCGGGCTTTAGTGCTGCAGTAGGCCCCATAGAAATGCTGTTGGGGGCCCAGCTCAGGGTCAGGGTAAAGAGTGAACAGAGAGGGCTGCCTTGGTTACTCTCTGTCACCAAGCAGGTGGCCATCAAACTCACCTTTAATTATATAGTGAGGGAGACAAGGGAATGTTATTTATACAAAGCTTTACTTACTATATGCAAATATGGTGCTCATATTAGTTAAGATATTAGTTGCAGTATAGAGGGATGCATGGTCTTTGTTATTGTTATTCTTTGTTAAGCCCACATAAGCCCATAGTTCACCACCAACCAGTTTCCATTTTGAGAAACATGAAAAAAACACCAGTGATCATAGTTAAATGTATTCCTGGGGCCAGAGCGGGG